TGAAGGAGCAGACCTGCAGCACCAAGTACCGCACGCTGAGGCAGTGCGTGGCGGGCAAGGAGACCAACTTCAGCCTGACGTCCGGCCTGGAGGCCAAGGACGAGTGCCGCAGCGCCATGGAGGCCCTCAAGCAGAAGTCGCTCTACAGCTGCCGCTGCAAGCGCGGCATGAAGAAGGAGAAGAACTGCCTGCGCATCTACTGGAGCATGTACCAGAGCCTGCAGGGTACGCGCCACCGTTGTCCTGTCCCCCCACCACCCAGGCCCGCGGGCCCCTCACCAGGTCGGGCTGACCTCATCCTCCACTCCCTTCTCCCAGCTGCAGAGTGAGGACCGCTCATTGGCCCCCAGGGACTGCAGCAGCTGGTGTTTGCTGCCTGCCCAGCTGGATTGTTGGGGCCTGGTTGTTGGAAAACCCATTATGGGTGAGGGGGACACCCCGGGACCCCGCTGACTTCTTTGAGATCTGGTCAGAGCTTTGAGTAGGAGGGACTCCATTAAAGGCCACCCAAGGGACGGCCACTTCTCTGTAAGGAGAGTTGGCTTCACAGAATAATTATTTAGACTTGCCCTGCGTCCTCCCTGGAGTTTCCCTCTTTATTCTGTCCTTCTGTCTATTCTGACATAAGAGAAAGAATTAAGTGTTAAAGGTCCAGTAACATCTATTCTATCTTTACCCATCCCCTCCTCCCCTTCAAACTGATCAAAGGCTTTGATGTGGGAAAAAACATTTGTCATCTTAGATTAGCTGAGTCTTGAACCAGCTGGTGTGGTTCAACCTCGGTTAACATGGATGTGGCTCAGAGGGGGAAAGGCCCACAGACATTCACTTTGATCGATGTGGCTGTGTTTGTAAATCTAAGGCAGACACCCAGTGCGCTCATTCTCCACCGAGACTTCACATCCGAAATCTGTAATAAACGGAATTGACCTATCAGCTACCACTTCCCTCCAGAACCTACTGATGAAACCTGTTTCAAAGACCGCCTGTTTAATGGCTAGGGTGCCGGCTTTCTGACCACACACCATGTTTCTGGAGCAAAGGAATGAATGGGGGGCCTCCTTTGAGTCACCTTCTTTCCATTGGCTCCTGGAGGCGAGCGCGACACGTGATATCACTGGCTTCTTCCTCTCTGATTTCATTCCTTTGCAGAAGTGGGAGAGAGTTCTGGCCAAATCAGGCTGGGTTGCTCTTCAGTGTTTTCATGGCACTCTGGGGAGAGCAAGGACAACAAAGGCAGAGGGAATGAAAAAAAAAAAAACAACCAGAGCCAGATAGAGGCATGTGAAGTCTTTGAAAGTTTCAGCATCTTTTTGTTACACAATCATAACATAATTAGAATTCAGATTCAGTAACAAAAAACTGCCTGGAATATGTCTGTGTTCCAGATCTGAGCCCAATCTTCCTGTTGTTTTTAGGAAATGATCTGCTCGAAGATTCTCCCTATGAACCAGTCAACAGCAGATTGTCTGATATATTCCGGGTGGTTCCCTTCATACCTGGTAAGCGGATTTATACTTCTACTCTGGGGCCCTGGCCTGCGTGAAATGCATTGGCTTGCATTCTCTTTGGCTCTCAAACGGCGAATGAGGAGGTAGTTGAATGGCGCAGTGTTTCTGGGAAATTAGAAATAGGATGATGATAATGAAGAGGCAGAATGACTAGACATGATTGTATGGCTTGAAAGTCATTCTCTAAATGAAGTAATGTGGTGTGGTGGTTTGGAAGAGGTTGGAGGGAGGTGACTTGGTTGAATTCCCCCCCCCCCCACTAAAATACGATTGGCCGACTCTTGCAAAGGGAATGCGGGTTCTGTCTGTAGGTGGCAATAGTATTCTCTTCTTTATGTGTCAGACACAGTGCTTCCCTGAAATGGGATCTGTTTAAATGATGCCACTTACTTTATGAGATGTCTGAAGATCATCTGAGATTGTTGAAGAATTTTGGATTTATTCATTTGTCTGCCTTTGCTTTAAAAGATTAAGCTCTGCCATTTGTTAACAGTTCTTTTGTCTCTAATTGTTCCTGAGCCAGTGTGTGTGCATATGTAAGACACTGTATTACTGCCCCGGTGGCCCTTTACAGAGTAGCCTTGCTTCCCAGGGCATGTTTTTTCTGTCCTTGCAGTTCTACGTTTGACTTGGAAATCAACCTAGATTTAGAATTAAGTTGTTATAACATCTGCGTTCAGAGAACCGCATAAATAATGAGCGAAGCAGTAATCTCTCTTCATGATGCACAGACTTCTGTCTGATGTTGTCTATATTTGTTTATGGTGAAGGCATTTTCTCAAGTATATATAGAGCCATCACAAATGACATGTTTTCAGTGGTTATGCATGGTGGTTAATGTTG